AGTAGCTGGGGACCCACCACAACACCCAGCTATTTTTTGTTGCAGTTTGGCCAGGACCAGGCTTGAACCCACCACCCTTGGTATATGGGGCAGAGCCCTACTCACTGAGCCACAGGCACTGCCCTAAATTAAAATTTTGAAAAGATGATATCCAATGACACTGCTTCAGAGCTGGAGGGGTTCTAGGTATTACAATGCAAGACGTGGGGTGTGACCATGGGAAAGGACAGATGAATTGTAAAAAACAAAAAAAGAAAGAAAGAAAAAGAAAGAAGTCAAAGGTGGTTGAAGATAAGAAGAAACTGATAGTCCTAGAGACTTGCGCAGATTAGCCATTATGGACAAGTAAGTCATGTCCCAAAGATGAGGACATGCTGAGAAGACAGTAACTAAGGGTCTAAAGATTTTAATGAATAAGCGTGAGAAGCAGTGAAGTTGGAAAATGACAGGGAAGGAAAAGGTAGTGAAAAGTCTGTAGTGGGCATCTGTGGCTTCCTGCTGGTCAGCACTCACTCCCTCAAGTAACAGCGCCCTGCTCTTGCTTTGGAAATCACTCCCTGACTCCCCAGGCACAGAGCAGGCTTCCAAAATACTAGTAATAGTCAATGTCTTAATCTGGAAGTAGAATCATGAGTGTTCATTTTATTATTCTTTAAACTGTACATTTATTCCTTATGTGTAGACACATTTTTATATACTTCCTGTACATATTTCATAATTGAAAAAAAAAAAATCCCCTCATTCCAAAGATAAGCACCTGATCCAGGTCCGGGCAATCAGAATCACAAAGACTGGCAGCCTAGGTGCCTGACCCAATTTAGGCCAATGAGACACTAGCCCCGAGCCTTTGCCGGAACTACAAGGAAAGACATGCTCTCTTTCTGCTGGAGCTGTGAAGCTTGTTTGTAGAGCATATCCCTTCACTAGCTTGAGAATAAAGCTAACACAGAAGAAAGCAAAGCCAAGATATGGAGAGTGACAGATCCCTGACATCATGTGAATACCTTGTGCCAGTCATTCTCGAAGCTATAATACCTGGGCCTTTTCAGCAACATGAACCAGTAGATCTTTTTTTTCTCTAGCCAATTTGCATTTAATTTATATCCTTCTAACTAAAAAGCATCCTAACTAATTCAGTGGACTGGTCAAATAAGGTATTCTCAATTCAGCACCGTAGGAGATCTTTCAACACATAAATCAAACTATGCCCTCCTGCTCAAGACTTGATAATGAGCCTCACTCCTCAAGGCACTCAAGAGTAAAGGCCAAAGTCCTCAGGCCAGCCACGCTCAGCACAATATGATTCCACCCTTCTCTGCCCTCGGCCTGAGATTCTCCACTGCTCACTCAGCCCCCAACCACACTGGCCGCCAGGCTGTTTCCTGACAGTTAGGCACCTGCCTTCAGACTTCTGCTTCAGCTGTTCCCTCCACCTAGACACTCTTCTCCAGACATCCTCCTGCTAACTCCTTCACCTCCTTCAAGTCTGCTCAACTCTGTTTTTCCGTGAGGCCTGCCTGAGTCCCCCTCCCTGTGGCCAGTGCACTCAAGCTCCCTTGCCTACTCTCCTTTGTCTTCTCTCCACAGTATTTACTGTACAATATAATAATGTGCTCCCTAAAATGTACCCAATGAGGGCTGGGGTCTTTGGCTGTATTATTTATCTCACTTTCCTAGAACAGTGCCGGGCTTACAGTATAGACCCTCAAATATCTGCTGAATATAAAAAACAAAGACATGAGCCTCAAAGGAGCAGAGCTTGGTTTGTAAAAGGCAATGGAGAGGGAAAGAAAATGATCCCATATCTTGAACCTGATATAAATGGAGTATAGGAGGAAAAGACATCGCTACTTTGAAGAATTCGGGGAAAGTCTAAAGCGACCTAAGGGTGCAGGAAGAAGATGAAAAATTCAGTGAAGAGTCAGAGAATGTGTTAAGAGAAGTTAAACACAGAATACTGCTTGTGAGGGGTTCAAGTGGGATGGGGAACCTGCGGCCTTCGGGCCACATGTGGCTTTCTGGATCCTTCAGTAGGCCTTTTGACTGAATCCAAATTTTACAGAACAAGTCCTTTTAATAAGGGGATTTGTTCTGTGAACTTTGGATTCAGTTGAGGAGACCTACTTGGGGATATGGAGGGCCACATGTGGCCCTGAGACCCCAAGTTCCCCATACTGCAGGCCAGAGCAATTTGCAGAAGAAAGATAGGCCAAGTGACTATTTACATTTTAGATGGAAATGAAAACTATAATGATATAAGGCTTGGTGAGTTCAGCCTGCATCAGAGGATTTAGTCCTAGCAATCCCTGGTAGAAAGGATTCCTCCTACCACCCCACAGTTTGAATGATTTTGGAATGGGTGGACTGAGAGTCCATTACATGTGGTCTTTCTCTCCTATCCAAGCACCAGAGGCCATTTAGACGTGTCAGCTGAATGGAGACACAAGGTTATCATGTTCATGGCACCATCCTGGCCCACAGAAAGCAATTCCCCTCTGCAGAATAACCTTACACTAGGGACAGCCTGTTAAATCCCCATGCCCCTTGCACAGAACTGACTCTGAATCCATGTCCTCAAGGATAACAACCCCAAGGTTCAAAAACCAAAAATCAGGCTTCTTTTCAAAGACCATAGCACTCAATTTTCCTGCATTTCCCCCATGCTGCCCAGGCAAGAGAAACCCTGGCAAAGGGAAGGAAGGCCTCCCTCCACTGGTCCTGACTCACCTCTGTTCCTTGCTAGCTTCTCTCTTCTCTCTTTCTTCTCTAAAGAAATTTCTTCAGTTATGAGAAAGTATGTGTATGCCAAGATTCAAGGAAAATGTTATTCCTAGTCAGAGAAAGAAATTACAATGCTTAACCTCTAAGGAAAAGTGGCTTACTATAAATCAGGCCCTTGAGAATGGTGTCATTTAGACACAGCCGTTAGGAGACCTATTAAATATTCAATAATTAATAATATGCCTCAAGGCTGTCGCTCTCACAGAACTGACCCTGCAAAAGAAACCAACAGTACTCAGACTTGGGACTGACATCCTGCCCACTAGCCAGATCTTGGTGATACAGATCATTTGTCCTCCAAGCACTTATCAGTTAAATGCCCATACTTCCAAGTCAGGTATTATCCAAGAGCAGATTATTACGCAAATATTTAAAATAGCTCTCTGTAGTAGCCAGCCTCCAAGATGGCCCTAATGACCCCCCACCTCCTGATAGTCACCCCTTGGTATTCATATCCTCTTCCCACATTGTGCCAGTGTCAGTCTGTGTAACCAACAGAATATGGCAGGGGTATGTGGCTTTCAAGTTTAGGTTATATAGGACTGGCTGGCATCCTGGGCTCTCTAGAGTCATTTGTGGTGGGGGAAACTGGTTGCCACACCGGCCAGCCCCATGGAAAGTAACTAAAGCCTGCCAACAGCCACTGAGTGAGCTTGGAAGTGGATTCTCTTTGAATCCAGCTTTCAGATGACTATAGCCCAAGCCAATAGCTAAGTCAGAACCACCCACATAAGGAGCTCCAGAGACTGCTGACCCCCCAGACACTATTTTCAGGTGGTAAATTTTGGGATAACTTGTTACACAGAAAAAAATAACTAATTCATTATCCTGCACAAAACTGAGAAGAAAAGCAGAAGGTTCAATCTCAGTTCCTATATTACATTCAAGAGCAATTTCTGTCCATAAAATAGCAAATTATTCACTCAGTCATTCAACAATTACTTTTTGAAAGTCAAATGTGAGCAAGGCATCTCCAAGTGACATAAACCTTCATGTCATCTGTAATCTTCTATAACATAAAGAGAATAATGACAAAGGCACATATCACAAGCTGCTCAATCCACCGGTTTCATCAGCTTTTTAAGTTTTCTTGCTCCTAATGCTTTACGCCCTACTCCTGCTTTCACAAATCCTCTCTGGAAGGTACATTAAGCCCCACTCCCTAGCTATTTTGAGTGCTCATCGTCCTTCTGACTGAAAAGCCAGCAAATTGCACTCTCTCCTACTCATTGTTACCACAGGCTCTCCCATCTAAGGGGGAGAGAAAGTTAGGTCCCTTCATTCCATAATATTGGGACAAGGAGGAATGCATTTAGTATTTTACTAGAAGGAAATCCTGATCACAAGTGCTGAGAACAATTCTAGTTTCTCCAATTGGTGACTAAGTGGCACCAGGCGCGCTGATACAATCACTGCTCAAGTCCCCGTCGCAGCTGAAATGTAGAGGAGGGCGGGGGTCCGCCGCGCCTTACCCCTCACTGGACTCTGCTGTCTCTCAAAGCAGCAGGAGGGCTGTGCTGCTCTGAGAAAATCAGGAGCCTCCCTCTGCACAAAGAAGGTCAAAGGGCGAGCTTGCTTTCCACCGACCACAAAACCAGCCTCTGCCAAACCTCACAGTGCGGTAGGCCATCAGGGGTGAATGGAGCCCCAGACAGAAAACCACAGAGAGACTCTCCTCCCGCCGCCGGCCGGGGTCTGAGTCAGGTGACTCGTCGGGGCAAACAACAAACCTAAACAAAGATCACTCCCCGTGCGACAGAGGGGAAGACGACTCTCGCAGTACGACCAAGGCTGCTGTTCCTACCAGGCAAAGCATTAAATCCTGCTTCCTTGCAGGCTCAGGAAACTGAAGGAGCTACAAGTTATCAGGCAGCTCACCCTTCAGGGATGCACCTGGAGCAACTTGGGAACCCGATCCCAGGACACAGGCGCCGAGCACTACACACACGCCTCTCGCCCCGACACGCAGGCGGGACCCCTCCTCACCAGCTGTCACCGGCGTTCTAGACTAGCCTGAGCAGCCCGTTCCCTCTGTCCGCTCCCCCTGCAGCTGCGACCCCGGGAGGCGGCAGAGGAGACGCTCTAGGGAACGAAGGCACGCCCGTCCCCCAGGAAAGAAGCCAGGGTAGGCGCAGCCCCAGGCCCAGGGTAGCTCCAGATCCATCACCTCCCTTCCCCGGGGGAGCGACATGAGACTCCCAAGTCTTCAGCCTCACCTTGTCACCAAAGCTGCGGCCCATCAGCAGGTCCGGGCTGGGCGTGCTGTCGCCACCCACGGCCTCCTCGCTGCTGGAGCCGGCCAGCGGGTGCGGCATGTCGCGCAGGGACTGGGGCCCCGTGGACGGCAGGGCCTTGGGGGGCCCGCCCGCCATGGCGCGCTCCTCCAGG